CTGAAGCTATAGAAATACACAGAACATAAATATTTTGCTTGATTCAGATAAGCACAAATTTTTCTTACAATTAAAATTATCAAAATACTTATTACCTTAAATATGGGATTTTACTGGGATAAGAAAACTGATCATGAAACCATGGGCGAAAATGTAACAGACGAGCAGCCAAGTGTATACTAGATATTAACCTAGGCCAACCTGGGTCTAGGTGGTACCAAAAACGGCATCTCAGGGAGCCTGAATAACATATAATGGTGTATACTGAAGGAACTTGAAGATCTGACCATAGGGAACACTGTCCAATAAACTTGAAATTATACACAATTTGTAATTTTTCCTAAAATGGGAAAAATGTACAGGTTATGCAGAAATCCATGCTATTTTAAGGAATATATATAATCTCAATCCAATTCAAAAATGACTTTTTAGGTGGTTGAAGAAAAGCATGGTTTCATGAAAAATAAGCGACTCTAACCTATCTACAAAGGCCTATTAAACTGGCAGAATAATAAAATGTGGATACAGTGATGACCCACCACAGGTTCAAACAAGCGCTTTAAAACTTAAGGGACAAGAGCCTACAAAACAGTGAAACACTAAGAAAATTAATGTAAGTTTTTAAATGATGACCACTGAGAAAACATCCAGTTACCTAAATATTACCCTAAAAACTGAGTTGGTTTAAATCAATATCAGTATAATTTATGGGAATCTAAGAAACCAGAATCAATCCTTTAAATCATCAATAAATAAACAACACTAAAACTAAAACAACACTAATATATACAAAGTAACAGATGTACTAAACAGAGTAGGGACTAGCTGTCAGGCAACCCACAAAGGAGCTTTAGAATTGTAGTTAACCACAATCAGACAACCTTGACATACAATTAACACAGTGAAAACAGACGACAAGGTCAACAGTGATACAACACAGGGGAAATAATTGACTGATGATTGTACACAATGTTTTAACATTCAACAAAAAATCTTAAGCTGAAGTATATGTTCAGTTACTAAGAGCAAAGTATGAGATTGATACAGACATCCGAAAACTGTAACATTGCTACTTTAGAATGAGTCCTATACATTTATTAAAGTTCCCTGAAGGCAGGGAAGAAATCATTTATTCCATCCACACACGCCCTCTAGAAGAAAGCCTAAATTCCACTGGTATTACGGACTAAAAATATTTCTATATGTGGAATCAAGAATAAGCAGAACCAGGAAAAATACAGAAAAGTTCCAGATAAAGAGTAATTAAACCATAAGTTATATTTCTGAAGTGGAATAGTTAGACTATCTTGACCTTACAAGAGTGGCATTTTATGATTGTTTATTATTGTCAAGAACAGAAAGCTTTGTGTCAGGCCACAGTGCCTCACATTTATAATCTGAGCACTTTGGAACCGAGGCCAGGAGGACTGCTTGAGGTCGTAAGTTCAGACCCAGCCTGGAATTTAGTAAAGACCCCTTGTGTGTACAATAAACTAAGACAAAAATAGAACGCGGATGTTAGTCCCAGATACTTGCAAGGCGAGGCAGGAGCCTAGGAATGGGAGGTTGTATGCAGTGACTATTAATATAAGAACCACCATTGCACTAACAAGGAACAAGCAAGACCTCTGTCTCATTTAAGAGAAAGAGAAACTGAATAGCTTAATACTTTTTTTTCTTTTTGAAGACAGGTTCTTAAGATATGTGCATTATCAACATGATTCGTTAAATACAGAAATGCATCAATGTGTTTCAGCCTTGTCTTCTCATACAGGAATACACTATACAACACTTGTCAAGGAACTCTAAGAAGAACTACTGTCCAAATTTAAATATCATCCAATCTCGACAGACAAAAAAAACTGCAGGGCAGGCTTGCTAAAGCATACACAACTTTTTGACAATTCACTATCAAAAGAAACCACAAAAGACTCTTTCTCTTAATATAAGAAGGAACAAAAATATCCTCTCCTATAATTTAATGAGCTTCCAATCTAAGAGGAGAATCATGAAGCCACCACAATAGACTCTTTTGTATACTTCAATGCAGTACCAGTACTTATATATGTTATATGTCTCCGAGTATCGACTTGTCCATAAGATGCAAAGGACCAATTAGAAATAGAATTTCCATATTTCATCGATGAATCTTTCGTAATCATCTAAGGTGCAAATTACAAATGGTCACCTTAGATGTTTCAATAGTTTATTTTGACATTCAATATTAAATCCTACCCCTATCAGAGATCTGGGTCAAGGTCTATGAAAGCATTGGCAGGTAATACAAATTAAGCTCATAAAAGGGAAAGCAATGTTTTATAAACTAGAACCCCTATTATAACTAAATTGTAATTCTGCCCCCAGTTTTCACCGCTCTCAAAACTGTCCATTTCCTACCATCGTAATACCAAAATTGTATATCTCTGCCTAGGAAAACGCTTCCTATACCTTGCCTACAATAGTTTTAATAGAAACTTTATTTAAGGTGTTCTTTGGTAATAACTGAACATTTACAAAGAAAAATTTTCTACTCCAAAAAAATATAAACTTGTGTGTTCAACACAATGATATATTTACAAAATATCTAACTTATTCAATTTCAACTACAAACTGGGATTCAGGTTCAAAATCATCCTGACAGCTTTATTTTGAGTAGTGGACTAATTCTATCCTATATCTGTACTGCTCTTATATGACCTATAGAAACGTATAGGCTATAAGTACTTGATGAATTGAATTCTCAGTAAGTCCTTTTAAATGCAAAAATTTGGCAAATTTCGAATTAGAATGAAAAACAATGATTTCAAATTAGAAAAGATTCAATTCCTACCTGCCACAGCACCAAATGCCAAAACCACTCATCGCAGAGCCTGCTGTGCTGCTGGTGGAAATCTGTAAACCTGTACCTGTAAAAGAAAGGTCTTGAATACTCCTTACACAGAGAAACCAAGTTTTTCGGGGTGCTTATACTAATCAGTCATCTCACTAAAAGAAATTACAAGACAAGCTGTAATGTTACAATAGCTGAACTAAATTTATTAAGAATGGAGATATAAACATATAATACACAAGGAAAACTGTAACTTATGCTTTGGTACTAAAACAAATAATATAGTTTCCATTAAAACCGAAACGCAAGTGCTTCATCTATAAAAGTAACATATGTTGCTAAGAATAGTGCCAACTCCAAAAAAAGATAAAATTTTTCAATTTTATCGTTTGCATGGATACCTTTCTTTTTCAGCACTGCACTCCTAATATATCATTCACAATACTAGGAAAAACTTACCCTCTGCAAGTCTTGCATTAATTGGAGACCCAGTTGTTCAAGTCAATTCCAGTCCTTTCCAGTTCATCACTATCCAAAAATGAACTAGCACTGGAGAGCATCTGTACAGTCAGTAACATGACCAACTTTCATTGCCTTCCTGCTAGTTCAAATCCATTAGATTGTCAAAGCCTTTTTGGCACATTCCGAGTCTGAAACTATGTTAATAGGAAAGTAGGGGAGTACAGTATATTTGTTTACTGTATACAAGAACAAAACAAAATACTGACAGTTAAATCTAGTACTGGGTGAATGATAGAAATTTCAGCTATAACTACAAACAAAACTTAGAAGAACATTAGCTCAGTGCAAATATAGATTGTTGGTGTGGTAGTTTAAATGGAAGAAAAGAGAGACTAGCAATGGTGATTTGTGCCTACAGTCCCAGCTACAGAGAAGACTAAGCAGACTGCTTCAGGCCAGGATTCAAGATCAGCTGAGCAACAATAGCTATCTATACGAAAATACAAATTAGGCTGGGCAACATGGCCTGCACCTGCTAGCTATTTGGGAGGCTGAGCCATGAGGATGGCTTCAGCCTAGGAGTTTCAGCTGCTGCAGTGGCAGTGATCATGCCACTGTATTCCAGCAGGGTGACAGAGATACTGTCTCTTAAAAAAAAAAAACTTTTAAACTTCTAGGATAGAGATAAATCCAATCCACCACTACTCTTGTTTTAATTTTTTTTTTTTTTTTTGAGACAGTCTTGCTCTATCCACGTGCAACAGTACATGGCATCAGCTTAGCTCACGCAACTCAAACTGCCGGCTCAAGCAATCCTCCTGCCTCAGCCTCCCAAGTAGCTGGGACTACAGGCATGTGCCACCATACCCGCTAATTTTTCTATATATTTGGTTGCCAATTAATTTCTTTCTATTTTTTTTAGTAGAGATGGGGTCTCACTCTTGGCTCAGGCTGGTTTTCAAACTCCTGACCTTGAGCAATGCACCCGCCTGGCCTCCCAGAGTGCTTAGGATTATAGGCATGAGCCACTGCACCCGGCCTCTTTTGTTTTAGATTTGATGGTGAAAAAAACACGATTCCTACCCACTCTATGTGTTAACGCTGGCACCACTGTTTAAAAATAATTTTCCTGGCCGGGCGCGTGGCTCACGCCTGTAAATCCTAGCACTTTGGGAGGCCGAGGCGGCGGATTGCTCAAGGTCAGGAGTTCGAAACCAGCGAGCAACGGAGACCGCCCGTCTCTTACCAAAAATAGAAAATAAATTAATTGACGGCAACTAAAAATATATATACAAAAATTAGCCGGGCATGGTGGCGCATGCCTGTAGTCGCAGCTACTGGGAGCCTGAGGGCGCAGTAGGATCGCTTCGAGCCCTGGGAGATGAGAGGGCTGTGAGCCAGGCTGACGCCACGGCACCTCATCTAGCCTGGGCCAACAAAGTGAGACTCGTCTCAAAAAAACAAAAAAAAAAAAAAAAAAAATTTCAAAAAAAAAAGAGAAAACCTGCACAACTTTTAATACAATTACAATCTTATAAATGAATTAAGGAATTAGCAATGTACATAAAACTTATTTTAAAAGGATCAAAACTAAAACACTTTCTATTATGAAATATGAAAATGTCTTAAATGCTAGCTTAGAAAAGTTGAGTATTATTACAGCTTTCACAGTATATTCTTATGAATTTGACTGAAGTTTACTACGTACGTTTGAGGGTTAAACATGTTAGAGAGTTGGAAACACTGTGTTGCAAGTGGTTGAACAGAAGCAGCTGCAGCTAAAGCTGAAGCTAAAACAAGAGAGAGAAAGAGAAATTAGTTTCATGGAAAATAATTCACAACAAACCCCCACAACCCATCCCAAGTACGCAAGTAGGATCACTACACTAATATTTCTTATTTTCCTTCAATGAACAAGCATCCTGCTTTCATAAAGCTTTACTTTAAAATAAAACAAAAATGCTAATGTATCATTACTCTATTAGTTACCCAGAAAACTGAAGAAACTTAGCTTTTGAAATAGACATTTAGAAATTTGGAGGTATTATTTTTAGAAGTAAAATGAAACTTTGTGTTATCTCAATTCAATTAGACAAAATCAATACATATCAATCCCAAAAGATAAAGGATAAAAGGGAAGATTGATTTTATACAACTGCTTAGTGTCTATATCCCAAGAAAAGAGTGATAATAAAAACGCAATCTTTGGAATTCCCAAACAGATCTATATATCCTTTGGTATTTCTTAGCTTTCTGCCCTGAATATGTTGTTTCTCTTAAATATATAAACCTTAATTATAAAAAGATTACATTTTTAATTAAGATGCATAAAATCATTTTAGATTTCCTATCCTAGGAAAATAAATCCTATGAGGAAATCAAATCAACATTTTAAAAAGGATTTTGTCTTTTAACCCAATACCAGAACACTGATTAGAGTAGCATATAATATCCACTATTATAACTTAAGAATATTCAACACTGTAATATTAAAAGTTTAAAACCATACTGGCTTGAAGTTAGGACATTTTCCAAGACATCTGCTCCAATGCTTTTTATATGATTTATAAAAATATTACCAGTAGCTGTGACAGAACTCACCGCAATCATATTATCTGACCAAATTTCAATCCAATACATAACAAACAAAGCTAAGGATAAAAAGTGCATTAGAAATTATAGTAATTAAAATAAACAATCACTTAAGGAAGTATCAGAAATTGTCTAATGAACAAAAACTAGGGCTGTGCATTAAATAGATTATAAAAGAATGACTGTTTCTGGTAGAATTATAAGTGCTTTTGCTTCTTCACATTATCCTTCAATGAATAAGCAAATGTTTTGCTTTCATGAAGTCTTACTTTAAAATAAAACAAAAATGCTAAAATAACAGGTCAAATTCTATGGAGGAATGTTAGAAAGATTCAAGAGTGTTTGTATAATTAAGCAAAAATGAAGACTGCACTCTGTAGCTTATCATTAAACAAGTAGAAAGTAGCCAGGCACAGATGCTCACACCTGTTAATCCTAGCACTTTAAGAGGACCAGGCTGGAGGACTGCTTGAGGCCGTGAGTTCCAGACCAGTCTGGACAACTTACCTAGCCCCTTATCTACAAAAAGTAAGAAAAAGTAGCTGGGCGTAGTAATGTGCACCTGTAGTTCCAGCTACTCAGGAGACTGAGGCAGGAGGATGCTTGAGCCAAGGAGTTGGAGGCTACAGTGAGCTATGATGACTCCACTGCACTCTAGCCTGGACAACACAGGGAAGACTCTCCCAAAAAGAAAAACCCAATTGGAAGTACACTTGGAAAAACTAAAAGGTCTTAAAACATTTGAGGAAGACTTAATTTTCTGACTTTCTCAAATTTACTATAATTATATAGTATGAATATTAAAAATATTAAGAAACTATTATAGAAACATTCCAGTTCAACCTAGATCAATGCCAAATGCAGTCAACCTAATAGGAAAATCCTCCATTCTTTTTAAAATCTGTGAACAATGGCCGGGCAAGGTGGCTCATGCCTGTAATCCTAGCTCTCTGGGAGGCCTAGGCTGGAAGATTGTTTGAGTTCAGGAGTTGGAAACCAACCTGAGCAAGAGCGAGACCCCGTCTCTACTATAAATAGAAAGAAATTAGTTGGCCAGCTAATATATATAGAAAAAATTAGCCGGGCATGGTGGCACATGTCTGTAGTCCCAGCTACTCGGGAGGCTGAGGCAGAAGGATTGCTTGAGCCCAGGAGTGAGGTTGCTGTGAGCGAGGCTGATGCCATGGCACTCACTCTAGCCTGGGCAACAAAGTGAGACTGTCTCAAAAAACATAAAAAAATAAAATCTGTGAACAAAAACAGCACTCAGTACAACCATCTCATTTGCTGGAAACATTAAAATGTATATTTAAGCCTTGACTATTATGGAACATGACATACTATTTTCATATACAGTGATTTCCATGAACAATTTTAAGCATATCTCTATAAATGGTGATACCAAACATGCACCACAGCAAAATGCCCTAACTTGTAAAGTGGCAAATTTACTTGATAATTAAAAACAAGAAATCATAGCCTACTTTATATATGCCTTCAATCTCCGAAATGTGCATGCAATTTCAGATAAACTGACTGCTTGGTATGGGCTTACATAAATCACTGAAATCAGAATACTATTTCTTAACAAAGAAAAGGTCAGCCCTGTACTGTGAATTCTAACCTTATATATTAAGTACATTCACACTGATTCCATGTTCTAAAAATACTGGTTTACTAAGATGACATTTATGATATTATTTTATTTCCCGACTTCTACATAAAACTTATTAACACTCAGAACACACAATGAGTATGAAACAAATACATGCTGAAAATTTTAAGCAAAGTAAGGCAAAAAAAAAAAAAAAAAAGCATGCACATTTGCATTTTTTTGGGTACACTGGCGATTGGGTTAGGTCTTAAGAAATAGAGATCACTACATATATACTATTATATGCTATTCTGTAAAACTGAGTTCAAATTACTATAACAAATGACAACTATGTCTTAGTACATTTAATTCTATTTCCAAGACAAAAAATGAATAAACAGTTCAACTCACCTTCAGTCTGTTGGGAAAGTCTTGTTTGCAAATCTATAACAAAAGAGAATTCTACAGCTCAGTGCAGGAACAATGAAGAGCCTCAACTAACAGGGTAAATGTCAGGAAAGCATTAATAAAAGAGGACTACAGCAGCAGGGTTTATTCATATGAACTTAGTAAAACCTGGCAGCAAAACCTCCTTCCCCATTCCTCATTGACAAGGCTTTGGGGCCTTTTCCCTTCTTAACCTAGGAAACTTCCTTAATGCCTCTCTCTTCCTACTACTCGTTTTCATTTCAAGTGCATTCATTCCACTATACTACTCTTCAGTTGGGAATAATGGGAAATGGGGAAAGGGGCGCACACCGGTCAGAAATGTGTGAAAAACCCTGATCTTGAGAATTCAATTCCAAGTACTTGGGAAATTCAAGTATTTATTTTATCAGTGGCAGTAAGCATTTAATACTTTAAGGTATTTATACAATTAAAAGATTGTAAACATTACACATCAAAAGGCTGTTAAGCATGTTCAATTATTTCCCAATTTGGGAGGAATGTCACCATTGGGAAAGATACCATCCAACAACATGTATATAATATTTTTTTAAAGGGCTTTTGAGATTCAGCTAGTCAAGTCCAGCCCAAAAAGGGAAAATTTGACTAACGTTATGGTTTCCTAGCCTAGTCTGAAATTTTAGTGAGGCAGGAATAAATCTATAAGGTTGTCCAATAATCTGAGTTCCAAGAAAAATACAAATATCTAGTCAGTATTAAAAATAAACACAACATGGAGTTTTAGCAATATATTTTCCTCATACAATCATTAGCATTTGTACAGCAAAGGCATCTGAAAAGAAAGCTGCTAGGGAGTGAAACAGCAGCCAAGTCTGACTACTAAAAAATTGCCACAGTACTGTAAAATCTATCTTGAAGCTATAGAAATACAGAACATAAAATTGCTTAGATTCAGTAACCTAATTTTCATTAAAACATTAAAGATACTTTATTACCATATGGATTTTTACTGGGGATAGAAAATGATCATGAACCATGGGCGAAAATGTAAACAGACCAGCAGCCCAAGTTATACTAGATATACTACCTGGGTCCTAGGTGTACAAAAACGGCATCTCAGGGAGCTGAATAAATATAACTGGTGTATACTGAAGGAACTTGAAGATCTGACCATAGGAACACTGTCAATAAACTTGAAATTATAACAATTTGTAATTTTTTTCCTAAAATGGGAAAAAAATGTACAGGTATCAGAAATCCATGCTATTTTAAATATATATAAATCTCAATCCAAATTCCAAAAATGACTTTTTAGGTGGTTGGAAGAAAGCATGGGTTTCATGAAAAAATAAGGACTCTAACCTATCTTACAAAAGGCCTATTAAACTGGCAGAATAATAAAATGTGGATACAGTGATGACCCACCACAGGTTTCAAACAGCAGCTTTAAAGGACTTAAGGGACAAGAGCCTACAAAACAGTGAACACTAAGAAAATTAATGTAAGGTTTTAATGATGACCACCTGGAGAAAACACATCCAGTTACCTAAATATTTACCTAAAACCTGAGGGTTGGTTAATAATATAGTAGTAATTTATGGGAAATCTAAGAAACCAGAATCAATCTTTAAAATCATCAACTAAATAAACAACACTAAACACTAAAACAACACTAAATATATAACAAAGTACAGATGTAACTAAACAGAGTAGGGACTACTGTCAGCAACCCACAAGGAGCTTTAGAATTGTAATTAACCACAATCAGACAACCTTGACATACATTACACAGTGAGAACAGAGACAGGTGCAGAGTGATACAACACAGGGGAAATAATGACTGATGATTGTTAACAATGTTTAACATTCAAAATCTTAAGCTAAGTATAGTTTACTAAGAGCAAAGTATTTGATACAGCATCCAACCTGTAACATTGCTACTTTAGAAATGAGTCCTATACAATTATCAATTCCCTGAAGGCAGGGAAGAAATCATTTTCATCACCAGCCTCTAGAAGAATACCTAGAATACGGATAAAAATATTTCCTATATGATCAAAGAATAAGCAGAACAACAGGAAACAATACAGGGAAAGTTTCCAGATAAAATAACTTTTAAACCATAAGTTATATTTCTGGAAGTGAATAGTTTACTATCTTTGATTACAAGTGGCATTTTATGATTGTTTATTCATTGTAAAGAATAGAATGGCTTGTGGTCAGGCACAGTGCCTCACATTTATAATCCTAGCACTTTGGGAAGCCGAGGCAGGAGGACTGCTTGAGGTCGTAAGTTCAAGACCAGCCTGGGCAACTTAGTAAGACCCCTGTGTGTACAAAATATAAGAAAAAATAGCCGGGAGTGGTTAGTCCCAGATACTTGCAAGGCTGAGGCAGGAGCCTAGGAATTGGGAGGTTGTAGTGCAGTGAGCTATTAATATAATGACACCACTGCACTCTAAGCCAGGAAACAAAGCAAGACCCTGTCTCATTTAAGAGAGAAAGAGAACTGAATAGCTAATACTTTTTTTCTTTTTGAGACAGGGTTCTTGAAGATATCTGTGCATTATCAAATGATTGTTAAATACAGAAATGCATCAATGGTTATGCCTTGTCTTCTCATAAGGATACACTTACACACTTGTCAGGAACTCTAAGAAGAAACTACGTGTCAAATTTCAAAATAAGTCATCCAATCTGACAGAAAAACAAAACTGAAGGCAGGCTTGCTAAAGATACACACTTTTGGACATTCACATCAAAAAGAAACCACAAAAGACCTCTTTCTCTTAATAATAAAGAAGGAAACAAAAATTATCCTCTCCTATAATTAATGAGCTTCCAATCTAAGAGGAGATCTTGAAGCAACCACATAGACCTTTTTGTATATTCAGATGCAGTACCATGGTCTTATATATTTTATGTTCTCAGAGTATCACTTTGTCCATAAGATCAAAGGACCAATTAGAAATAGAAATTTCCATACTTTCTTCGGATAAGGATTTTCTATCATCTAAGGTGCAAAATACAAATGGTCCTCTTAGATGTTCTAATAGTTTATTTTTTGACACTTCAATATTAAATCCTATCCTATCAGAGATCTGGGTCAAGGTCTATGAAAGCAAGTTGCAGGTAATCAAATTAAGCCATAAAAAGGGGAAAGCAATGTTTTATAAACTGAACCCCTTATTATAATACTAAATTGTGAATTCTGCCCAGTTTTCAGCCCCCTCTCAAAACTTCATTTCCTACCTCGTAATACCAAAATTGTATATTCTGCTTAGGAAAACTGCTTTCTCTATACTCTTGCTACAATAGTTTTAAATAAACCTTTATTTAAGGGTTTCTTGGTGTATACTGAAACATTACAAAGAAAACACGTTTTCTACTCAAAAAAATATAAACCTTGTGTTGTTCAACAAAAGTGATATATTTAAAAATATCTAAACTTATGTCAATTTCAACTACAAACTGGGGTTCAGGGTTCAAAAATATCCTGACAGCTTATTTTGAGTAGTGGATAATTCTATCCTATATCTGTACTTCCTTATATGACCTATAGAAACGTATAGGCTATAAGTACTTGATGAATTGAATTCTCAGTAAGTCCTTTTAAATGCAAAAATTTGGCAAATTTCGAATTAGATGAAAAACAATGATTTCAAATTAGAAAAGATTCAATTCCTACCTGCCACAGCACCAAATGCCAAAGAACCACTCATCTGCAGAGCCTGCTGTGCTGCTGGTGGAATCTGTAAACCTGTACCTGTAAAAGAATAGGTCTTGAATACTCCTTACACAGAGAAACCAAGTTTTTCGGGTGCTTATACTAATCAGTCATCTCACTAAAAGAAATTACAAGGACAACTGTAATGTTACAATAGCTGAAACTAAATTTATTAAGAATGGAGATATAAACAATATAATACACAAGGAAAACTGTAACTTATGCTTTGGTACTCAAAACAAATAATATAGATTCCATTAAAACCGAAACGCAAGGTGCTTCATCTATAAAAGTACATATGTTGCCTAAGAATAGTGCCAACTCCAAAAAAAGATAAAATTTTTCAATTTTATCGTTTGCATGGATACCTTTCTTTTTCAGCACTGCACTCCTAATATATCATTCACAATACTAGGAAAAACTTACCCTCTGCAAGTCTTGCCATTAATTGGAGACGACCAGTTGTTCCCAAGTCAATTCCAGTCCTTTCCAGTTCATCACTATCCAAAAATGAACTAGCACTGGAAGCATCTGTACGTTCAGTAACATGACCAACTTTCATTGGCCTTCCTGCTAGTTCAAATCCATTAAGTTGTTCCAAAGCCTTTTTGGCACATTCCGAGTCTGAAAACTATGTAATAGGAAAGTAGGGGAGTACAGTATATTTGTTTACTTGTATACAAGAACAAAACAAAAAATACTGACAGGTTAAATCTAGTACTGGGTGAATGATAGAAATTTCAAGCTATAACTACAAACAAAACCTAGAAGAGAACATTAGCTCATGCAAATTAGACTTGTTGGTGTGGTAGTTTAAATGAAAGAAAAGAGAGACTAGCAAGGTGATTTGTGCCTACAGTCCCAGCTACAGAGAAGACTAAGGCAGACTGCTTCAGGCCAGGAGTTCAAGATCAGCGTGAGCAACATAGCTATCTATACGAAAAATAAAATTAGCTGGGCAACATGGCCTGCACCTGCTAGCTATTTGGGAGGCTGAGCCATGAGGATGGCTTCAGCCTAGGAGTTTCAGGCTGCTGCAGTGGGCAGTGATCATGCCACTGTATTCCAGCATGGGTGACAGAGATACTGTCTCTTAAAAAAAAAAACTTTTTAAAACTTCTAGGATAGAGATAAAACTCCAATCCACACTACTCTTGTTTTAATTTTTTTTTTTTTTTTTTTGAGACAGTCTTGCTCTATTGCCCGTGCTACAGTACCATGGCATCAGCTTAGCTCACGGCAACCTCAAACTCGAGGGCTCAAGCAATCCTCCTGCCTCAGCCTCCCAAGTAGCTGGGACTACAGGCATGTGCCACCATACCCGGCTAATTTTTTCTATATATTTTTGGTTGGCCAATTAATTTCTTTCTATTTTTTTTAGTAGAGATGGGGTCTCACTCTTGCTCAGGCTGGTTTCAAACTCCTGACCTTGAGCAATGCACCCGCCTGGGCCTCCCAGAGTGCTAGGATTATAGGCATGAGCCACTGCACCCGGCCTCTTGTTTTAATTTGATGGGGAAAAAAAACACATTCCTACCCACTCTATTGCTTAACCTGGCACACTGTTTAAAAATAATTTTCTGGGCCGGGCACGGTGGCTCACGCCTGTAATCCTAGCACTTTGGGAGGCCGAGGTGGGCGGATTGCTCAAGGTCAGGAGTTCGAAACCAGCCTGAGCGAGACCCCGTCTCTACCAAAAATAGAAATAAATTAATTGACCAACTAAAAATATATATACAAAAAATTAGCCGGGCATGGTGCGCGATGCCTGTAGTCGCAGCTACTCGGGAGGCTGAGGCAGTAGGATCGCTGAGCCCTGGAGATTGAGGTGGCTGTGAGCCAGGCTGACGCCACGGCACTCACTCTAGCCTGGGCAACAAAGTGAGACTCTGTCTCAAAAAAAAAAAAAAAAAAAAAAAAATTCTGTTACTGAACTAGAACTGCAAGACAGTAGTTATAAAACAGAAAACACAACATATAGCTTTCTGTAATAAAGATCACTATGTCAACAGTAGACAGTTCATCATTCTTTTAGTAAAATTTACCTCATCTCCTAGTTAATAGAAACAAAATAAAATATTGGTGAGTTATTTCTAAAAGTAAGTTTTCTCCCTTTCACCAGTACGCTGAGGTAGATAAAAGCCCATGAAGAACACAGTTTCTATCAACATCATCCGGTCTCCATTTCATTGAAATATGCATAGGAGACAATATAATTTCCTCAAGGAGACGTGTATTTTAAACAAAATGTTCCCAGGACCTGAAAAGGTTGTAAGTATAACACAAGATCATACATTCGAAAAAATGTTAACATGTATTTGGACAGCACCCTGAAATAAGACTTAAAAGTCCAAGGACATGAATTCACAATTATTCCAGTTGCAAACTCAATGACCGTGTGGACTGGGCTAAAATCATGATCCACACTTTTTTTTTGGTGAAGACAGTCTCGTTCTGTTGCCCAGGCTAGAGTGCAGGGGCATGTAGCATCATCATAGCTCACTGCAACCTCAAACTCCTGGTCGAGTTTCTTGCTTTAGCCCCTGAGTAGCTAAGACTACAAGCACATGCCACCAAACCCAGCCAATTTTTTAATTCTTTGTAGAAAAGGGGTCTTGTCATGTTGTCCAGGCTGATCTTAAACTCATGCCTCAAGTGTCCTCCCTGCCTCTGCCTCCCAAAGTGCTGGGATTACAGGTATGAGCCACACGCTGGACAACAAACACTTTTTTTTTTTTTTGAGACAGAGTCTCACTTTGTTGCCCAGGCTAGAGTGAGTGCCGTGGCGTCAGCCTAGCTCACAGCAACCTCAAACTCCTGGCTCAAGCCATCCTCCTGCCTCAGCCTCCCAAGTAGCTGGGACTACAGGCATTCGCCACATGCCGGCTAATTTTTTATATATATTAGTTGGCCAATTAATTTCTTTCATTTATACGTAAGAGACCGGGTCATTTTTTTTTTTGTTTCTAGGTGTTTTTTTTTTTTTTTTTTTTTTTTTGGCTCCTTGATCAGGCTGGTTTCGAACTCCTGACCTCGAGCAATCCGCCCGCCTCGGCCTCCCAGAGAGGTAGGATTACAGGCGTGAGCCACCGCGCCCGGCCTAACAAACACTTTTAATAAGACAATCCTGGTCTTGGTTGTGATATAGATACATATAAAAATGATTGTAAGAAAAACAGAACCAGAAAAGACCTTCACCTACTCTAAGAAAGTGTCACAGTAAGTTAGGAACAACCATAAACTAGTTATATTACTATGAAGAGCTAGCTAATCAAAATGGCCATATATAAACATTAGACATAGTACAGAACACCAGGATCATAGTCTAATAAATTTTCAGATTTGCTGGACACTTACTGATTAGTAAAAAAGAGCTATATTCTGCAAGCTAATTTAAACCACTTGAAAATATTAATCATGCCTCCTTTCCTATAATCAGTAACCAATATAGATTTACTATGTTCTTTAGATCAAAAAAATTTTAAGTCATGTTAATTATGGTAATTACTTACTGTAATAAACCCATATCCTTTAGATCGACCTGTTTCACTGTCCATCATAAGCTGGATACTTTCAATCTAAAATTGAAAGGCATCATTATTATATAAGTCAAAAAGGGGCAACAATATTTCATTCCTTGAGATACAGTTCCAAAAATCCAGAAAAATCTCCACCCCGTAAAAAGAATAAATAAATAAAAATTTATTGGAACTCTTCATTCCAAAAAAATCTTCTAAAGGTCTACAATTTTCCTAAATAAGTTATGTATACACTGGGAAACATGAAAAAACTATGATTTTGAATTAAGATTATCTTTTACCTCAAAAACAAACTACTGAAAACCAGAAGTCCTCTGTAAAATACTATCAGGGATTACAATCACCATCATCAACACATTTCTTCTGCTTTGTACTAAAAACACCAAACATTAATTCTTAACTATACCAGATACAGTAAAAAAAAAAAGTCAGAATAACTAAAAACAGCACTCGGTGTGGGGATGATTGCAAAATTGTTCACTTTTAATGGGTGATTTTCTATGGTTTGTAAATTATATCATCAAGTTTCAATTAAGCTGTCTATACAGAAAAAGCACACAAAAAAAATCAAAACATCCATATATATTGTATTTCATTTTGGCTTATGCATGTTGTGATTGTACAACCTGAACAATTATGATGTGTGCACAGATTGAATATGTCCAATAAATAAAATACCCACAATCCCAGCATCCTAACTTGTATGTTAGGGTTTAGTAAACTGGTTGTGGGGTTAGATGACGAGAAATTACTTAATGGGTACAATGTATGTTATTCGGGTGATGGACATAATAAAAGTCCTGAAGATAACAAAATTACAACTGTATCCAACAAATCTGTACAAATGAAACTTTAAAAAAATAAAAGGGTTGAGTGGGATGGTGAAAAAATATCATAAAAAACATACCCAAGAGCAATTCATAAACTAGTGGTAGGTAAGGTACAGCAAGAACCAAGATTTATGTACACACAACCTTTTAAATCAGAGTGCAGCCTGTTAGTATTTATTATAAAATAAAACATCTAAAGAACTCACAGAGAAACCATTTTAATTCTTTAATTAAAGGAATTAAGAAAAGCATCTCTACATACCCCTAAAATGTAAGGAATAAGCTTCCAATAAACCCAATGAAACTCTTGTTCCAAAAGTACAGTACACTATTTTTTACAATGTTCATTTTTAAAATGATTCTAATATCCATAATGTATATCACTGTTGCATTATACATAACATTAACAGATTATCTTCAAATACCTCCTATCAGGTGACATATGTAAATTTAGGTTGTCACAAAAATCTCACAGAACCAAACCCTCCCCTCTTTTTATCTTTTGAAAGAAGACAAACACACATGCAGACATCATTAAGTAATTATAGGCAAACAACCTACTAAAGATCTACTGAAATTGGACTTACCCGTCCAAAAGGCTCAAAGATGCCCCGAAGCATATCTTCAGTTATGTTAAAATGTAATGAGCCCACATAAAGCCTCATAGGTCCAGCACTTCCCTTTTGTAAATTGTTTGCCATTGCTGCAGCTCTGTTTTTTTCTGCCTGCAAGATAAGACAAGATGCACATCCCACAGCACTATTACAAATTCAAACAGACTAAACCTCATTCACAACTTAGGTCTGCTTAATGACAAGTGATGTCAAAGATTTGAGAGATGAAAATATTACGTTAAGTGAATAACTCAGCCACTAAAAAGATAAGTACTGTATGAATCCATTAACATAAGGAATCTAGAATTGGCAGAAGGTAGATTAGACCTTACGAAGGACCAGGGGGAAAAGGCGAGTTATGGTTATCTATATGATAATGACAATTTTTAGACATGTAGAGTGTGATGAATGTACAACACTATGAATGTAATTAATGGAACTGATCTATACACTTAATGGTTAAAATCACCAATTTTATGTTATATATATTTCACAACAACAAAACCAATTTTAGAATGCTGTATCATTTTTTTGGTTACTGGGTCTGGCTATGTTGTCCAAGCTAGCTAATTTTTTTTGTTTTGTGTGTGGAGGGGGTGTCTCCCTATGCTATTCAGACTCCTCTTGAACTCCTGGCCTCCCACAGTGCTCACCATACAGGCATGAGCCTCCACGCCCAGCCTATGACACCAATCTTAAGATGCATTCTGATATCAGATGTAAAATATGGAAAATGAGACTGCTTCTTGAAATTGTTAAACACATTCAGTATTTATTAAAGCTAACTTTTTAAGGACAGGGTCACCTCTGTAACCCAGGCTAGAGTGCAGTGGTGTCATCATAGCTCACTACAACCTCACACTCCTGGACTGAGCTCAAGCAATCCTCCTGCCTCAACCTCCCAAGTAGCTGCAGGTGTGCACCTCCACACACAGGGCTGACTTTTCCCTTCTTTGTAGAAACACGGTGACACTATGTTGCTCAGGCTGGAAGTACAGTACACCAACTGGCTCTCATTCAGAAACTGTTGCCAGTTGGTGATGAAATAAGGGAAATATACCATAAAATAGATCAAACGATATCATGAAGTAAATCATTCAGCTCGGCTGTAATTTTGTCCATAACCAAGACATTCAACAGGGGAAGCTGTCCATTTACATTCTAGCACAAGCTCATTTTCTAACAAACTGGGGCACGTTGATTAATACTGCTCTCCAAGGTGATAACATTACACAAATCAAAAACCTCATTTAATTTGCAGGTTTCTCAGTCCCTAGTGTGTGGCAATCCACACACAACTATTATTGTAATTATCTTCCTTTACCCCATGACTTCAGCAAAAAAGACTATTTTCCTTTCCACTTTACATATAATCACATGATGCTTAACATTAATTACTTCTAAATGTAAAGTGGAACCTATCATCCTCTTTTAGAGATTACAGAAGTAAAGCTAGCACAGAATTTGGTCAAGGTTACAAACGGCTTGGTTAGCAGTGAAACTGGAATTTCAAGTCATATCTGGGTTATAAAGGTTGTGTACTACTTTCTAAAATTATATAAAATAAGTTTGATGAAGTAACCAGATTATTTAGAAGGTGTTAAAGAATATTTTAGTGGTTTGGGAAACAATCTATATGACTTTAGTACTTTGTATTGCTCAACGTATTCTTTTTTTTTTGTTTTGTTTTGTTTTTTTTTTTGAGACAGAGTCTCACTTTGTTGCCCAGGCTAGAGTGAGTGCCGTGGCATCAGCCTAGCTCACAGCAACCTCCAACTCCTGGGCTCAAGCAATCCTCCTGCCTCAGCCTCCCGAGTAGCTGGGACTATAGGCATGCACCACCGTGCCCGGCTAATATTTTTTTCTTTATATATTAGTTGGCCAATTAATTTCTTTCTATTTATAGTAGAGACGGGGTCTCGCTCTTGCTCAGGCTAGTTTTGAACTCCTTACCTTGAGCAATCCGCCCGTCTCAGCCTCCCAGAGAGCTAGGATTAGTGAGCCACCGCGTCAACGTATTCTTTAAATACCATATATTTGCCATTTTCTTAAGACAATGAGTAATGATCAAGAATCTTAAGAGTATTTTCATATACTACAATGATACATTCCAATTTCTCCATATCCAAAAGAACTGAAATAGGAATGCTAATTTCATTTACCTGAAGATAACACTTAACAAGTGTGGGTGTTATCAGCAAAGTAGAAATAAATCATAATTTGGAAATCTTGAACAGAGAATATTCTCTGCATTAGATTGCAACATCTCACTTTCAAGAAATGATAGTAGTTCAAACTACTCTTTTTTTTTTTTTTTTTGAGACAGTCTGATTCTGCTCCCAGCATCCTCACACTCCTGGGCTCAAGCAATCCTTCTGGCTTGGCTCATCCTCCTAAGTAGCTGGGACTACAGGCACGCGCCACCATGCCTGGCTAATTTTGTTTATATATTGTTTTTAGTTGTCCAATTTAATTTCTTTCTATTTATAGTAGAGACGGGGTCTTGCTCAGGCTGGTCTCAAACTCCTGAGCTCAAACGATCCACCCACCTTGGCCTCCCAGAGTGTGAGGATTACAGGCATGAGCCACCATGCCGGCCCAAAACTACTGTTAATATACAAAGTATTATATAATAAGCACATAAAAGGGAAAATATTTATTAAAAATGTGAAACTTATTCCATTTGAATGGGGAAACCTTTAATGTTCCTATTCTTTTTTTTGAGACAGAGTCTCACTCTGTTGCCCGAGCTATAGTGCCGTGGTGTCAGCCTAGCTCACAGCAACCTCAAACCCCTGGGCTCAAGCAATACTGCTGCCTCAGCCTCCCAAGTAGCTGGGACTACAGGAATGTGCCACCATGCCCGGCTAGTTTTTTTTTTTCCTATATATTTTTAGTTGGACAATTAATTTCTATTTTTGGTATACACGGGGTCTCCCTCTTGCTCAGGCTGGTTTCGAACTCCTTGCCTTGAGTGATCTGCCCTAGTCTCAGCCTCCCAGAGCTAGGATTACAGGCATGGGCCACTGTAGGAGGCAGAAGCCACCACACCCGGCCTTAATGTTCCTATTCTTTTTTTTTTTTTTCCTTAGACAGTCTCACTTTGTTGCCCAGGCTAGAGTGAGCGCCATGGCGTCAGCCTAGCTCACAGCAACCTCAATCTGGGCTAAAGCAATCCTGTTGCCTCAGCCTCCCGAGTAGCTGGAACTATAGGCATAGTGCCACCATGCCAGGCTAATTTTTTCTATATATATTAGTTGGCCAATTAATTTATTTCTATTTATAGTAGAGACAGGGTCTGGCTCAGGGTGGTTTCGAACTCCTGACCTCGAGCAATCCGCCCGCCTCAGCCTCCCAGAGTGCTAGGATTACAGGCGTGAGCCACCGGGCCCTGCCAATGTTCCTATTCTTACACGTGTCTATACCCTACTTAATAAAGCATGACAAATCAATAAAATTCTAGACCAATTTCAAGTCTTTTTCATGAAACAAATATTTATAGCTACTTATTTTTTCTAATCTCCTAAATGTTTTCCAGGATACAATTTATTTTAATATAAATAACAGGATGGTATTGAGGACACCATATATCAATGTAATCAACGAAAGGTAAAAAACAAACAAAACGGTCCTAAGAACATCTGACTCAATGTAATGAGTGGTGATTAATGTACACAAAGCACATGACAGTTCAGCCACATACTAGACCAATCAATAGCCAAATCCTTAACCAAAGAAAAAATTACCTGTGATGCCTGTACTATGATTGGCACTCCTAAAACTCGCTGGCCAGTCAATCCTATTGCTAGAGGCACTGAGCTAACATCAACAAACTCCACATAAGCAATTCCTTTGGAACGTCTTGAATTTCTATCAGAAATCATCCTCACATCTCGAACCTAAAAAGAAAACAAATACTTAACAGAGTTCTATTTGTACAACCATCCATTGTAAGCTATCTATCTATCTATCTATCTATCTATCTATCTATCTATCTATCTATCATTTCAAAAACAGACAAGAGGAAACATTAATGGTTCAGCGAAGGACAAAGCCATTTAAAAATAATTTTTTATTGATTCACTTAACCAGCCTAAAATTTTGTAGAGCAATTTCTATGATCTCTATCTTCTCACAAATGTGATAACAATCAATTCCAACCCTATTAACTTCTAGATGATGCAAAATGGGAACATTACCACAAATTGTGCTAAATCAAAGACCTGGTGTACAGATGTCTTCTCATTTTTGTCTGCCGTAGTAAAAATTCCTAAAATGTTTACAATTTGCCCCTTGTTGCCCTCCCCAATCAGGAAAAGATTACCTTTCCTACTGTAGAGAAAAACTCTTCCAAATCCCTTGGTCGAATTCTTGCTGCCAGCTGCATGCAGAAAACTGTCCTTGCATCTCTTTCCTCAGGAGTTAGATTATCAATAGGCTCCCTAACAGGAGTAAATAATATAGAATTAATTCTCTAATTTATTCTTTTAAAACAATTTTTAAGCATTTTCAGTAAAATCAGTAACTAGTCAAAACTAGTCTGTCACAATCCCAAGACCGTTTTCACTAAGATCTATTTATTCAAAATATCCATAAAGCAATTCAATATGACATAATTCCTCCAAAAGAAAGCTAAAGTTTACTAAGTGTTTCTTCTAATCACATCCTACACGGAATCAGGACAAAAGTCCACTGGTCTTGCAGTCTCCAAAAGGTTAATTTATCTACATAAAGGGCCAATCAGAAACCTGACAAAATATTACAGAACATGTTCTTACACTAAAAATAAAAAAAAAAAAAAAAAAAAAAAAAGAAACCTGACAATTTAACAATAGTCATACAAAATATCTCCTGACCAGTTACAAATGGCAGATCGGTCAAAAATCAGTTGAATGGATGCTCGCCCACAACAAAATCATAAAACCATAAAATGAAATTAAGTTTGACAATCATAAATGATAAATTTAAAAGTAAAACCCCAAAGGATTCTCAAAATTCTATTTTACAAGTTGATACAGACATACAGAAGAGAGAGATGGTTGCTTATTTTAATTACATCAGTCTTACTGTGAGTCCACAAATTTAACATCTGAATTAATGCTTTCTGATGGTTAAATACAGGGATACTAACCAAAACCAAATAAAATATTTAAAACAAGTTTTTAGGTGGGATTCAATTTACTTTTTTAAAAGCCTAAAAGATAGGGTATACCACTTCTAAACTTACAGAGGTAACTTGAGTATTCAAATAAGGGAGAAAAGTAAAAGAACACATGAGATAAAATTTAATTTTCATTAGTTTCAATAATAAAAGCATCTACTGGCCGGTCATGGTGGCTCACGCCTGTAATCTTAACACTCTGAGAGGCCGAGGCAGAAGGATCCTTTAAGCTCAGGAGTTCAAGACCAGCCTGAGCAATAGCGAGACACCATCTCTACTAAAAATAGAAAGAAATTAATTGGCCAACTAAAAATATACAGAAAAAATTAGCTGGGCATGGTGGTGCATGCCTGTAGTCCCAGCTACTGTGGAGGCTGAGGTAGGATTGCTTGAGCCCAGGAGTTTGGGGTAACAGTGAGCTAGGCTGATACCACAGCACTCTAGCGCGGGCAAGAGTGAGACTCTGTTTCAAAAAAAATAAAAACAATAAAAGCATCTAATAATATTATTATTTTAAAATATCACTTAGGTTAAGGTTTTCAGTTAATCTTTAACGATGTAACTCTAAACACACATTCTCGTTCATTTTCTGAACATTCTCAGGAAGTGCTTTGGGGTGATAGAATCACTATACCTACAACATTTTTTTATAAAGAGAGCTATGATTTTCATCAAATCCTAAATTCTATAGTACAATTAGAATACATCAAATAATAGAACAAGCACAAAATTATAAAATGTCCTCTTTTAAGGGAAGCCAGAAATGCAAGTAAAGAACAATGCTACCATATGCCAAAATATCCCTTGAACCAAAATGGTAGACTAAACAGATACACCTTACAGTCTTTTTTAAATTTTTTTTTTTTTTTTTTTGAGACAGAGTCTCACTTTGTTGCCTAGGCTAGAGTGAGTGCCATGGCATCAGCCTAGCTCACAGCTACCTCAAACTCCTGGCTCAATCCTTCTGCCTCAGCCTCCCAAGTAGCTGGGACTACAGGCATGTGCCACCATGCCCGGCTAATTTTTTCTATATATATTAGTTGGCCAATTAATTTCTTTCTATTTATAGTAGAGACGGGGTCTCGCTCTTGCTCAGGCTGGTTTCGAACTCCTGACCTTGAGCAATCCGCCCGCCTCGGCCTCCCAGAGAGCTAGGATTACAGGCGTGAGCCACCACGCCCGGCCTAAATTTTTTTAATTAGGGGATTTTATGTTCATTTAGGAGTAAAATAATCCACAAAACATTCAAAAACCTAAGAATAATATTAAAAGCAATTCTACTCAGTAAGACTTGAGATAAAATACATTTTCTCAGGAAAGAAAGTCAAATGGTAAAACTTATGATTGTTACAACTATTTTTCCACAAGGCTATTTCACGTAGCTCATTATTTGTTAATTCCAAAGGTAAAGAAATCAAGTCTATTTAAATTTTTCCATAGCTACTGTGTTCCCAATATAAGGAAATGATAAATGTTTGACCTGGATGTGATAATTGCCCAGACTTGATCAATACACTATATACACATGTATCAAAATATCACAAAGTATTCCATAAATATTTATAATTGCATCAATCAAAAGTAATTTTAAAATAATTAATTTTTATAATTTACAAGATCACATGTATCATTAAAATGTTAAGTTTTGCATTTTTTTTTTTTGAGATAAGAGTCTCAATCTGTTGCCCGGGCTAGAGTGCCATGGCATCAGCCTAGCTCACAGGAAACTCAAAACTCCTGGGACTCAAGCGATCCTTCTGCCTCAGCCTCTCAAATAGCTCTTGCTCAGGCTGGTTTCAACCTCCTGACCTTGAGCAATCCTCTTGCCTCGGCCTCCCAGAGTGCTAGGATTACAAAGTGTCAGCCACTGAGCCCACTCTGCACCTTTTTAAATTATATAAAAATAAAATGAAAGCTACTAAAACTCACTAGAATCCATTCATTTAAAATAGTGCTGCAAAAGGAAGCAAAGGATTTAATATGGTCCACATTACTAAATGCCATTAAATTAAGCAGTAGCATTAGTTACAAAAGCTAAAAGCTTTAAAGAATAAAAATTAGGGACAAACAACTACCTCACAGGGCTCTTGTCTTTTCTGAATGGGCTTTTGCTTCGGGAACGCCGTCTGCTGCAAAGTTAAAAAGTTCCAGAAGTTATCCAAACATGTAAACCACATTGGTTCCTTGAAAAACAATTTAAACAATTCAGAAGTATGTTTAAAAACCTTAATTTGATGCTATGAGGCAACCCAATCTTTCCTCGGATGGCACTGTTAAATTTTGGTCCGGAGCTAAAAAGGAAACACAAAATTACACTAGTTACAGGTTTAGGGTCTTGCTAAGATCGCATTCATGCGCTCTCCAGCAAGTTTAACATTGTTTAAGCTGCTTCTTTTCCACCTCAATTATGAAGAGGAAACAAAAAGACTTAAATTTTCTTTTAACTCTATCTCAGGCAAGCTGCCCTTATAATTAACCATCCTGGACCACTGAGAGGTGCCAAGACCAAAGGTTACAGCCTCAAAATTTTTAGATTCTGAAAATGCTCATATTCATTTTGTCTATAAATGTTTAAATTATGTATTTATGAATTTATAAATTTCATATTTATAAATACATTTCTCAGATGTAAAAAAACACATACATATATGAAAGTAAAAATAAATCCCTCTGAACTTCCCTCACACCAGCATTAACCATGGTAAACAACTTGGTGAGCATCTTTGCAGATTCTTTCTCGGGACTATATGTGTACATACACATGTATATATACATACTATTCATAGGTCTTCCTGTTTGAAGGGCTTCTATTAAAAAACAAAGGGAATTCTTTATATAGTCATGCAATTCAGATTTTCCCCCCATTTTACTGTAATTCTTAGACTGCATGACAGCACATTTAGTATATTATACTTCAGTTCTTTGTGACAAACCATTCCATAGTAAAGATGTGAAGGTAATAATTCACCATTTCTTCAGAAAAATTTACTGAGGAATTGATATAATTAAAGGAGTGTTTTCAAATACACCACAAAGTTTAACTATGCTCTAATACCAGTAGTTTAGTTCCTTCTTAAAGACCAGGGTAACAAAGGGACCAGCCAATGTCCCTCAGTGCTCATCCTGCTATCCTATTCCTTAAGAAGAGCAAAATGAAACGAATGTCTAGTGGTCTGTGATCTACACATTTGGATTAGTTTTTGTGGACACTATGCCTACCTACAACATGCAAGCAGCTGCACACAAAAAACGCTTATATTAAATCAGTCCTTTGTAATTCAGAGTAATAGTGTTAACAGAATATACATTTACTAGATAAAGTTCTTAAGTAACTATAATGTACTTTCTCCTTTAATTATAAAACAGTCTCAGTTACAGCCTCTCTAGTTAAAAATTCACCTGAAACCCAACACAAGAATTAAGTCATTTTTAAATAAAGTCAAACCAGTATCACAGGCAGACTAAGTATTCATCATGCAACAGAAATAATAATTCTGAACTTATTAATCCCCCCTCCATTTAGTTCATTCTGGTAAAAAGATGGTTAGCCTAACTCCATTTTAAGAATGCATTAAATCTTTTTTTTATTTTAGCATATTATGGAGGTACAAGTGTAAAGGTTACTTATATTGGCCATGCCGCCCCTCCACCCTTAAGTAAGAGCTTCAAGCGTGTCCATCCCCCAAATGTTCCACATGTTACTCGTGGTTGTATATACCCATCCCCTCCTTCCCCCTCTCACTCTCCCAATACCTGATAAATGTTACTGCTCTATGTCCACTTAGGTGTTGATCCATTAATACCAATTTAAGAATGCATTAAATCTTGATAAATTGAACAAGAGCAAATTTTCTAATACTGTATAGCATTCAGAATTAAAACAGCATTGTGGTCCCATTTTTGGCTCTTAAAAAGTTTATAAAGTAAGCAGCTAGGAGGAACCTAGAAATCTTCATGTTCAGTTCATTTTAAAGATAAAAAAGCCAGAATTATAATTTACTAACTGCAAATGGCTTTGTATCATACCAGAACACTTCATGAATACAAGTATTCTGAATGATTTAAATTATCTTCTCATTCATTACTCATTAATAGCTTATCTACAAGTTGTTACTTCCTTCACAAAAGAAAACAAAAGCTTAGAGTGTTGGGGACTTACTTGCCCAAGGCTATAAATCAGGTTTGTCTTTGAATTCCACCCTCAATTATTCAAATTTTCAAGTTAGAAGTATTACTTTTAATATATCCCGTATAGTCTACAACAGTGTTCTTATTAAGAGGAAAGATTACAAAGCATTAAAGATCTGCTAGATTCAATCTTTTCATAAAATTGTAGACAGTCTCTTTCCAAAGCCAGTAATATAGCAGAGTTGTTTAATGACTATATTATTTGTTTCCTATTTATTTATTTAGAGACAGAGTCTCGCTTTGTTGCCCAGGCTAGAGTGAGTGCCGTGGTGTCAGCCTCGCTCACAGCAACCTCAAACTCCTGGGCTCAAGCAATCCTCCTGCCTCAGCCTCCCAAGTAGCTGGGACTACAGGCATGCGCCACCATGCCCGGCTAATTTTTTCTATATATATTAGTTGGCCAATTAATTTCTTTCTATTTATAGTAGAGACAGGGGTCTCACTCTTGCTCAGGCTGGTTTTGAACTCCTGACCTCGAGCAATCTGCCGCCTCGGCCTCCCAGCCTCAGCCTCCCAGAGTGCTAGGATTACAGGCGTGAGCCTTTTTCCAATTTATTTAAATACCAACATCCAAATGTCTATAGTGATTTAATCCTCAAAGCACTTTTGGCCTAGAATAACTTTTTAAAGAATCTTATATTACAAATGTGTCATGAAGTCAAAAACTTATCAAGGTGCATGCACAACAAATTCACAAATGGTCTGTCATTTCAGCTGAAAACAGCCACATAGATAAGGTTTTTACTTACTGTTAATTCACTATTAATTACACATTTATAACTTAGTACTCATCTGAATTTTAAAACTTTCACACACTAAGCATTCTCAAGTTTTGGAAGTATATCATATCATTCTTTTTTCCAAGCACTCCAGTGCTTCAGCCTCACTTGTATTGGCATACACAAAAAAGCTGTATGCCTAGTATAACAAAAGTTTTACATATTTGTGCACAAACCATATTTTTACTTTAATAATCTTCAATGCCAATATACTTAACACTTTTTAACCAATCTTTGAAAAATAAATTTTCACAATCCAAATCCAAGTTAAATTACTAACTGAATACTCAGAGAAAACCCTCAAACCAAAATCATCATAATTATAGTTACATACTATGGACTTCTGTAGCGGCCTCTGAACCTGCGATCTCGACTTCTAGAGCGACTCCGTCTCCTTTCTTTGCTTCTACTTCTCTTCCTTTCACGGCTTTTGCTCTTTTTCCTTTCTCTATCCCTACTTCGCTTCCGTTCCTTACTTTTGCTTCTCTTTCGTTCATGACTACGACTTCTGCTTTTGCTTTTTTTCCTCCTGAGAAGAAAAAAATTCTCCATTATCTTGTTGGTTTGAGAACCCACCAAAACATAGTACCTTTAATGGTCAGAATTTTTCTTATCCTTTTGTAAATTTACTGTGCTATTTCTATCATATAATGATATGTAATCATACTTAAAGAGAACAAATTCATAGGTATGGTAAACAAGACTCCATCTTTGCCTTATATTACTGAAAATCAGCAGTTAAGAGACAACATCCTTTAGCAGGAACTGCAATGATCTCCTGAGTCAGCTACAGCTTTAACAAGGAACAGGATTTGTTGACAAGTACAAATCAAAATGTGCACTTTTAAATAAAGTTTGACTATCATATAATAGGCCAACAAACATTACTGTAACCCACAAGATACATTAATAAATCAATGTTACAATAGAATATGTTCACATTTAAGTCCTAGCACGGTTTCATATATAAAATTCTTATCAAATACACTAATTTACCTTAAATAATTTTTGACCCAATTTACACATGGAAATCTACTTGCATAAGGCCAGAAAGACTCCAAAATTTTGTTTTTTGTGGGCAAAATTATAGGTAATGAAAAAGGACACTAAGAATTAATGCAACAAAATACATTTTGACACTCCTACACTTTAATGTGACCATTTCAAATACTTTCTATTTCAAGTTATAATGAATACACCAGAAAATGGAGTGTGCCATTTTTAAGCCAGTTTATACAAGCCTGAGGTGCAACCAAAAACAAGGATCAACCTGAACTTCATAAATCTTTGTAAAATCTCAAACTCTGAAAGGTAAAAAAGCCAGTCATTTCTTTCTGTTCATTTCTGTATTCCTTACAGTATACCACTCACTCACTTCATAATTAAATCTTACAATCTGTACCTCCATGTCATCACCCAAATTTTAGAGGTGCCTTCAGATATTTCAATATAAATTGAAAGACATTTCGAAATAAATTTATTCCACTAAAATGTGAATTTGTAGTGAATTAAAGATTAAACATTTTGACAACTCTACATCATTATTTGGAAATTAAATTAACTGTTTAGTCCTTATCAAAGCAATATTACAGCACAAGAGCATTGTGATGTTTGCCTCAGAACCTGTAAGCAGGTCATCTTAGAGTGCATTGAAAATAGAAAATGAAGACACCCACCTTCTGGAATCTTGAAACCCACACTCCAATCACAAGGAGATGTAGAGCTTTCCAAGGAGGCAGAAACTTTGTCTAAAATTTCAAGATAATCCACCTGACTGTCAGAAATGTATATGCTAAGTAGCACATGACAGAAAATTAGGCTACACTCATTATTTATATAGAAGTCATCAAAGCAATGCCCAGAAGGGCAACAGATAACATTCCAAATTTGTTGCCTGAAAAACCTGACAATCTCTGTGACACTATTCTAACTAAAGAATTGTGTAATATAGCTAAAACCAAAAGTCCTAAATATAATCAATTCAATTAGGGGACAAGATAAGAAGTAACTCTATCCCCCACAAAAAAGACAAAGTTTTTGCTCTGCTCATAAATGGCCCATAGCAGAGAGGCAGTCAACCTCTTTATCCCTCAGAGGCCCCAAAACTTATTCTGCCAAAAGAAAAAATTTGAAAATCGGAGGGCTAATTTTAACTTAAGGCCATCCTAGGACTTTTTATAAGCAAGTGCCCACCCACATCTGAAGGCAACCCCCAACAGGTAAAAAGACAGCAACATACTAAGACATTCAGAAAATATAATCTGCATAAAAGCCCAGAGAAAAATATAAGGGTGCAAGAAATCAGTATACTTCTCTATAACAAATTCCAACTTCAAAGGGCATTTAAGTTAACAAAAGAAGGGTTATCATAATCCACACTAATAGTCAAATCCTGTTACAACTTAAAAGGGACTTTCCAAAGTCTTTAGTGGCAGTGGATTTTGTACTGAACATCATTGAAGTAAATGGTCCACTGGGCTGGGCCTTTGGACTTTTTGGTTATATGGCCTCTGCTGTAAAGGTGTTTTGCTATAACTGGATTTGACCTCTTCCATGTAAGAAGATCTAAATTTTAAATGCAAAGTACTCTGGAAAATAAGAAAAAAAATAGAAAAGTCATTTATTCCAAAATTTATAATCCACACCACAGTAGCCAATATATTTCAACTGTGTCATTTTATTATTACTATTATTTATTTTTTTTTAGTAATTCTCTAAAGAACTTAACGGAATGGAGGCTGGTTTGGACTTTGCAAAACTATTTATGCTGACAAATAATATTCCCATGAGGGCAAGCTCAGATACTTAAAGAGACATACTTTGAGGTCTTGCCAAACTCAGGGTTATAGTTCTTCAGAAAATAGACTAATTGATAACCAATTTGTGTTACCATTAAACTTTTTTTTTCTACTAGTGGGATACAGTGAAGCATATGTGTTGAGAATCATAATTATTAAAAAAAATTTAGTCAACTCTCTATTTCTGAGAATGTGCATGTTCTTATTACCTTACAAATCTTATCTCAATATGTAATGATCCTTAAGGAAATCACACTTTAAAATGAAAACTGCAACATGGCACCTTCTTTGGTTAAGAAACTTAATTTATACTAAAGCACAGATGTTTTATATCTATCCATAAATAATTTTCTTCTAGGTAACTTTCAAATTAATTTGAAAGATAAAGTTCCTTCAGAAAAATGTGTGAAAAGTTCATGATTGAGCCAGGGGGCCATTTATCTAATCAGCTAGAATTGAGAGTGAGAAGCATGACAAAGAAGTATTTTGTACATTTTAAAAGATTACTAGGTGAAATGTTTTGAAAGGTTATTCCCTTAAACAAAGAATACTATGGCCAATAAAAGAAAATTGTCCATTCTTCTATTAAGTCCCACAGGACTCTTTACATTTGATAAATGCCACTAAACATCACACATGGAGAGCTTGATGCTCAATTTCCTTGGTAACTTTAATGAGGTTAGATGCAGGATATAAGCATGTATAAAATGGAGATGACTTTAGGTGGCAAGAAGCAGTAGCAGAGAATGGTACAATAAAGAAGGTCTGCACCCAAAAGTTTATGTCCTCATCCTTTTGGCACTTATGAAATCTTTACATAGCCACTAGGCCTAGATTAGATAATTTACATGGATTTCTCTTCCAGGGTTTTCTTTTGATTACAAAATTGCAAAATAAAAACACTAGTTACTTTGGTTAAAGGTCTAAATTCAGATGACTGGTTGGTTACCTCAGACCACACAATTCAAGCATAAACCCCATCTGATCCCCACATCAACTTGTGATTAAGGAACTATAACTGACTCCCACCCAAACATGTATCAGAACGAAGTAGGACATGTTCTACACATCAAATCATTTAATCCATTACTACCACACCATTTTAGGGTAACCATAAAAATAAAATCTTGGCTTAGCAAACCCTGAATAATCCAATCCAAAATTTTCTCATCTGTTTTAACAAATAGTATCAACCTAACATACTTATAGTGATGATGATGGAGGTAGTTATTATGAAGCACTTTAGTTCTCAGGAGGAAAAGAACCAAAAAGAATCAAATAAATGACTATTTCAGCATCATTTTTCATTATGTATAATGAGGTCATAAATTCGACAAAATGTTTTAATATGTCATCATAAACATAAGGTTAATAAAACAATTTAATGCTTATAAAACATGACCCCATGACCTAACCTTACAGCAGAAAGGAAATTTCAAGAACTGCCAGGATACAATCTTATTAAATGGATCTGGTTTTAACTATTAAGACTTTCTGTATACTGTTTCCTGTATTAGTCTGTAGCAGTGTTGCTATTATGGGTTACTCACATAACCCAAATAAACTGTATAAATATTTGTAACTTCTAAAAATGCCATTCTATTAAGTCTACTAGAGTCTAAAAGGCCTAAGACAATGAAAGCCACATTCAAGAAGTACTTAAGTATGTTATTGCATTACTACAAAAAGGGCTTTTAAGCAGCCAGCAGCAGAAATAATTCACAGCTTTGACTCCGAATCAGTGATTTCGGGCAAACAATACTTTCCAAGGCCTGCTTATTATTATCTTTTCTAATTGAACTTTTTCCTTTTAAGTTCAATGGATATAATAGATTTATCAGTAAACCAAATACTAAGCCAAAGTTAACAAATTTAAAACAGAAGACAAGTTCTAATACAGGACTGTCAGGATGTCATCCAGACTATCAGGATGGACATGGAGAGGAAGGTGCCCAGAAGGTCTTTGAATCCTGAAATCTAGGCCAAAAGTCCATAGTTTCTCAAAGAGTTTCTTGTCCCAAAAAGCAAAGAACCAATTTTCTAAAAGAGGCAAAGAAAAACTTAAAAAGAGAACCTTAGTTTGATGTTTTAGCAAGAGGAACACAACTTAAGATCTCAATCAGAACCACCCCTCCCCCCAAAGCCCCTTCTTAAAACTTACTTTTTGCTACGTTCTTCATGGCCGTTAGCACTGCTCAACTTGTTCTCATCCTAAGCAGGGTTGATAGAAGAACATCATGAGGGCGAAGTGGTAACATTTCAAGTTGTCAAAGGGTAAAGGGAACAGGAATAAGAAAATACAAAACAATTTTAAAACTAATTATTTATTTATAGTTTAACATGGAAGGCTATAAAAAAATTTAGATGGGTATGTGTTTAACCACTTTGTTACTTACAATTAAGTCATCAAGATACAAAAATTAAAATCTGTCCATATTAACATGTTAAATTTTACTTTCTTACATAGTTTAGATATTATTAAGTTATCCAGATTTACAATGTTGAAGTGGTTAAATATGATTTCTATAAAACATGAATGAAGTCCTGTTTGAGTTTTATTCCATGTTCTATGGTCCCTTTTGGTCAGTACCATGGTTCTATTTCTGCCTAAGCCCCAAGTGGCCATGCTAGCAGCCAGCCACTATCGATTTCCTGTGACCGATGCCATTCCTGAGATCTTCGCCCATTTCCGTTGGAGGGTTGGGACTGTAAGAGCTTGATGCCACCTCTGTCACACATCTCGCCCTGAAGCAAACAGGGATTCACACTGCTTTAGTAATGTTGACTCCCAAGAACCCAAGAAAGTCAATTAATAATCCACCAGTCCAACCTAAACATTTCCTACTTCCATACCTGTTTGCATGGAATTACATCCATGTTAAACTAAGACACAAGAATCTTAACAATAAAACAGAAAGTAGCTCTTCAAGACTCTTAGTATTACAAAACTACATACACTATTTAAAGCTATCAAGAATTCATCCAAATAGGTACCACATGGTCGTGCTATACAATCCAAAACAAATGTATTATTTTTAAAAGATTTAGAGCAATGTTTAAAGTTTGATCACATCAGCTATAGGAGCATAACTGCTAACTTACAAAGCTTACAGTTTGTGACACCAGTGATAATGCATGCATACTGCTATTTTCACCACCAACTGGTGAAAGAATGAAAAGACAGTTTACTTTTACTGTGATACTGAAATGGGTCAAAGACTGTATTATTAACTAAAATAATTCCGCTGTAGTTTTTAGCGTGAAATACTATGGCAGGGCCTAATTAAAAATAAAAAATGGAGAACAGTAAAACAGTTATCAAGTGACTCTAAGCTGTAATACTGCCTCTTTTGTTGTTTTTTCTTTTAAATTCTATTCAGGGATCCAAGAATTTCAGTAATTATTAACTGAGCAGATCGCCACCTGCCTGTTTGAAGATTTACTATCACCAGTCGTGTGTGTATATATATATAAATTTTAAAATCTCACCCATTTCTTCTTATAAGACTTATTACAAGATTTACTTGCCAGACTGGTTATGCTTTGTTATTCTTGGACCCCTGCTATTTCCCAAACCACTACATTCACCTTTTTGCTATACCAAACTGGAGCTGGTAATTCTTAGTTGAGTCATTTTACCTAGGGGACCACGGTACAGCGATAAGTCACTCAATTACTACCTTATGATTGACAGTTCACACTGGAATCAAAGGTGAATTCATGGGAGTAGAGGTGAGATATCGTTAGGCAAGTCTACAAAGAGAGATAGATGGGCATTTATTCATCACGCTGAAGTGAAACTACTGCACAATATTATTACATCAATAGCATATATTTACTTTTGTAAGTTACACGTAATGCATCTCTGATAAGATAAATCAAGAGGGCTCCGGGGAGGTTAGTTTACATTTCAGCAGTAGTTTCGTGAATAATGCTAAATTAAGAAATATGTAAACCTCACCGACATGTTTTTTCTCACCTTCTTGTAAGGAGCCTCAAGCATTGCTTCAATATCAATATCGTCTGCCATTTTCTCTAAACGCCTAGAAAAAGAACGAGATAATTCTGTAAGTATTTTTCAATTCTGTTTAATTTTTTTGAACCGACACACTCTAAAACTTCAGAAAAACCTTCAAATACCCTGTAATAACTAAAGGGGAATACACTTTACCAAGCTTTGCTTGTCTAGGTAAATCTGAAACGCCCCTTACACCGAACATACGAAAATGGAGACTTCAACGTCCGATTTTTAAAAGCCCGGTATGAACTCCAAAAACCAACTGGAGACTCAAGCGACAGAGCCTCTTTCCGCGCAAAACCCGCGCTGCCATTTTAGGGGCAAAGGGAAACTCCCTCCGTTGGGAGGGGTTGTGTGCCAAGGCAGCGTTTCACTGCCGCCATGTTGGGAGGTCGGGGACGGCCCAGGCCCGGAAGGAGACGGGTCGCCATCTGCCGAGCCCTCTCCCGGATCCTTACCACCCCAAGAATCCTGACGCTATCAGAACCCGACAAAAAAGTGCGGTAACCGAAATAAAGCCGATTTTCCGAGAAGCCCCCACCCCAAGTCGCTGAAGACCGCAAGGAGAGCCCCTCAACGCAAAAGAGAACCAAACCTCGGAAAAGCTGAAAATATGCGAGTACGCGACGCACCCATACCTGTGCGGGCTTTCGGGCGCCTGTGGTGCTCGTATTCAGCAAGGGACCGCGACGACTGCTGCTGCCGCTGCCGCCGCCGCTGTTGCTACTGTTAAGCCCCTAGGCCCAGGCCGCGGTAGCGCCCAGCCCGAATATCGGGCTCCGAGGGCGGCTAGGCCCGAGCGAATCTAAAAGAAACAATGGGATTAGAGGAGCCCGCGCGGGAGAGCAGGACGGCGGCTTCGGCAGCTCAGGATCCACCCCTGCGACAGCGTCGGCAAGCTCCCTGAAATGGCGGCCGCTGCTTCCCCGTACTCACATTCACCAACACACATACACACACACAAACACACGGGGCCTCACAGAGCCCGCAGCACGGGCTCTCGCGAGATACTGCCTCAAGTTCCAGAGCTGAGCAGGGGAAACATCGCGAGATCCAAGTACAGCCCCAGCGACAGTAAGCCAATCTCGCGCAATGATTGCGCCACAGATGTTCCCATCCCCCATTCAGAGAGGCGCGTTTGCCTCCCCCTCGGATAAGCATCCAAATCTCGCGAGGCGGCATAGGTTGCTCTAGCAAAGACGGTTGGTGCACTACCTGTCAATCTTTCAGAGAACTCCAAGCTGAGTGGAGCTGCGTGGTCGCCCCTTCTCTTCGTGGCACCTCCTCACAGCCTTCTGAAGGTTTCCCCTGCGCAGCCAACCGCCCTGGCTCCAGCCTCCCACCCAGACGGCTGTCAAGGTCGCCATAAGGCAACCTTGTCAATATGGCAATAGGATAAAACGGTCATTTCAGATTATCTGCTGAGGATGAAAACTAAGTGGGAAAGCATTTTAGAAGGCGAGAAGAAGAGACTGTGCGAGGGTAGGGAGCTAGTGGTATAGAATAAAAATTAGGTTTCCCTGCCATTTGGAGCCAATGGAATAGGCGCGGCCTCGACTGTCGAGCTTCTAAACATCCTGAAAATTGTGGAGAAAAGCAAAGAGAAGGTGAAAAAAAAAAACCAACAGATTATGCGTCCTTGGCATTGGATCAGCAGTGTGTTCCCTGAATTTAGTCTGTCCTTGTGTCAGGGTTGCTATTGTTTCTTCAAAAATGTCTCCCTTTCCCCCAGATACTTGGCTCCTCGCCCCTAAAGCCTCTGGCCGGTAAAGTGTAAATTCGCGACTTGTTCTTTCATTAATAACTGTAAAGAAAGGGAACCTCTATGAAGTTTTTTTTACTTCCAGATAAGGATTTTTACTTTCAGATAAAAATGCTGAAAAAAAAATGGAAGTCTTCAAAGCAAAAATCTTACATAAGTCTATTAGCTCAATAATTGAGGGCGGCTGGCCAGGCTGGCTGGTGGCTTCCGCCTGTAATCCTAACACTCTGGGAGGCCAAGGCAGGAGGATTGCTTGAGGGCAGGAGTTTGAGACCAGCCTGAACAGGAGTGAGACCATCCCACCCCACCCCCCTCTACTAAAAGCAGAAAAAGTTAGCTTGGCCAACTAAAAATACAAACAAAAAATTAGTCTGGCGTAGTGGCAAGTACCTGTAGTCCCAGTTAGAAGGCTGTGACCTAGGCCGATGCCATGGCACTCTAGCCTAGGCAACAGAGTGAGACTCTGTGTGAAAAAAAAAAAGAAAAAGATTGAAAAGGAACCGCTCTAGTTCTTATAGCTCCTCCAACACTATGTGATCTTGGACAAATAACTTCTCAGAGCAGATCTTTCATTTCCTCCTATGAAAAAGAGGTTTTCCCTCTTTTTTTTTTTTTTTTTTTGAGACAAGCGTCTCACTCTGTTGCCTGTGCTAGAGTGCCATGGCATCATCAGCCTAGCTCACAGCAACCTCAAACTCCTGGGCTCAAGTGACCCTCCTGCCTCAGCCTCCCAAGTAGCTGGGACTACAGGCATACATCAGCATGTCTGGCTAATTTTTTCTATATATATGAGTTGGCCAATTAATTTCTTTCTATTTTTAGTAGAGATGGGGTCTTACTCTTGCTCAGGCTGGTCTCAAACTCCCAGAACTCCCAAGCTCGAAGGATCAACCCACCTGGGCCTCCCAGAGTGCTAGGATTACAGGCGTGAGCCACGGCGCCCAGCCTACCCTCTTTTGAATTAGCTAGACTAAACTACTTGAGACTGACCCAAAGCCAGTAACACTCACTTCTGAATTCCCAGAGCTTAGCAAGGAGTGCCTACCAAGGTGGACCCTCAATAAATGAATGAATGAAGGCTCAGAAGAACTATAGTGTAAGATTAAATTATATCTGTAATGTGTATTAGCCTGGGAAGTGTAGGCTCTTACAACTTTCCACTTAAAATTTTAAATCTGAGGCCGGGCGCTGTGGCTCACGCCTGTAATCCTAGCTCTTGGGAGGCCGAGGCGGGCGGATTGCTCAAGGTCAGGAGTTCAAAACCAGCCTGAGCAAGAGCGAGACCCCGTCTCTACTATAAATAGAAAGAAATTAATTGGCCAACTGATATATATATAAAAAATTAGCCGGGCATGGTGGTACATGCCTGTAGTCCCAGCTACGTGGGAGGCTGAGGCAGGAGGATTGCTTGAGCCCAGGAGTTTGAGGTTGCTGTGAGCCAGGCTGACACCACGGCACTCACTCTAGCCTGGATAACAAAGCAAGACTCTGTCTCAAAAAAAAAAAAAAAAAATTTTAAATCTGGGGGAGGTGGCCAGCACCTGTAGCTCCAGCTACTCCAGAGGGGGAGGATTACTTGAGCCCAAGAGTTTGAGTCCAGCCTGGCCTGGACATCATAGGGAGAACCCATGTCTTTAAAAATAAAGTCACAAATCTCATGTCAAATTACTCAAATTGCACATTTTTATTTAGAATCTCTAATATGGCAAATTCTCCTAACCATTACAACTTAAATACAAACATATACAAGTTATTTCTAAACTTAATAAGAAGGAATTAAGACTTCATCTCTATATTTAAATTTAAACCTCTCCTGGGTAAAAAGACATCCATTAAGAAAAGGGTTTTGGCCAGGCACAATGGCTCACGCCTGTAATCCTAGCTCTCTGGGAGGCCAAGGTGGGTGGATCGTTTGAACTCAGGAGTTCGAAACCAACCTGAGCAAGAGTGAGACCCCGTCTCTACTATAAATAGAAAGAAATTAATTGGCCAACAAATATATATAGAAAAAAATTAGCCGGGCATGGTGGCATGTGCCTGTAGTCCCAGCTACTTAGGAGGCTGAAGCAGCAGGATTGCTTGAGCCCAGGAGTTTGAGGTTGTGTGAGCTAGGCTGATGCCATGGCACTCACTCTAGCCTGGGCAACAAAGTGAGACTCTGTCTCAAATAAAAAAAAAAGAAAAGAAAAGAAAAGGGTTTTATTATCTAAAAAAATTTGAGATTGACATTCCACAAGAATTCAGATGCTATCTCTTGTTAGCCAGTTTTTCACCTGGACCAAAATTGTGGTTACATAGTGTAGCTGCTGGACTCTAGAAATTCTTAAGCCACTAATGGGTACAATGAACCTTTGTTGTTTTTTTTTTAAGTCACTATGACACTGGAAACTCAAGCCTATTTCAAACAGAAGAAATTAATTTTAGACACCCATGTAACCTTTCCCTGATTTAGGTAAATGAAATTGTATTATCCCCACCTAGGTTTCTTCTGTACTTGATTAATAATCAACTTACTGATTGGCAGGGCTTGGTGGCGAATGCCTGTAATCCTAGCACTCTGGGAGGCTGAGGCAGGAGGATCGCTCAAGGTCAGGAGTTCCAAACCAGCCTGAGCCAGACCCCATCTCTATTAAAAATAGAAAGAAATTAATTGGCCAACTAATAGATATAGAAAAAATTAGCCGGGCATGGTGGTGCATGCCTGTAGTCCCAGCTACTTGGGAGGCTGAGGCAGGAGGATTGCTTAAGCCCAGGAGTTTGTGGTTGCTGTGAGCTAGGCTGACGCCACGGCACTCACTCTAGCCTGGGCAACAAAATGAGACTCTGTCTCAAAAACAAAAAAAAGAAGAGGAGATATTTCAAGGGTACATCCCTAGCCACTTACTTTAGCTTGACATCATGGGTCACAACTCTCACATTAACTTTGCTTGGGATTACTATTCCCCAAACTCTAGATACAGTTTCTTAAGGTCCTATGTAAACCACATAGTGAAATAACGGTTGATGTTCTTGCCAGAGTTTAATTTTTGGTGGAAAAGTAAAATGTTTTGAACTCCCATAGTTAAGGCAATGAAGAAAATTAAGGGGTACTCTCAATATCCCATCTGTCCATTCCATGACGGAAGGATTGCCCAAAACCCACTTTAGATGAAAATAGAGGTGAAAATATCAATACACTATAACTTAAATAGAATTTAGAACACTTATTTAGAGTTATCAATGAAATGTACTGTTTACTGATTCATTCACTGTTTATTTAGTGCTCTCAGTACTAACTAGCACATTTGTGAGTACAAAGAGATCAAAAGTATAGATTTTTTTCTTTCAAGAGTTTTCAGTTTAGATAGAACATTAAACCTTGTTCAAGACAGTGTTTTAAATTACAGCAGTAAGATTTTCACAAGCTCATGCCTCAAACATCATAGCAATAATAGCACATTTATGCAGCACTTAACACGTTAGAAACCATTTTCTTTCTTTCTTTTTTTTTTTTTGAGACAGAGTCTCATTCTGTTGCCCGGGCTAGAGTGCGGTGCATGAGCTAGCTCACAGCAACCTCAAACTTCTGGGCTAAAGCAATCCTTCTGCCTCAGCCTCCTGATAGAGCTAGGACTACAGGCATGTGCTGCCATACCCAACTAATTTTCTCTATGTATTTTTAGTTAGCCAATTAATTTCTATTTATAATAGAGGCAGGGTCTTCTCACTCAGGCTGGTTTCCAACTCCTGACCTTGAGCAATCCTCCAGCCTTGGCCTCCCAGAGCGCTAGGATTACAGGCATGAGCCACCACCCCAGCCTTAGAAAACCAATTTACACATAAT